TGCCATATGTCCATCTATCAAGGCCACGAGATCTGTCATAACCTAGTTACAAATTAGTGAAATCAAGCGAAATACATTTGAACAGGACATACTCGGACATGTTCATCTACCTCCTCATTTGTCCCAGTCTTCTGTAAGGAGCGGGTCTCGTCCTGCTAAGGAAAAGATAAGAAAATGAATCATGAATAAGGGAGGTGAACATACCTTATGTGCCGCCAAGATCTTTTTAAACCTAGCACTGCAGGCAGGACCAGTGCGGCATATGGCAGTTCCCTTCTTCTTACTGTCGTTTTCTAGCTCCTGTGCTAAGTTCTTCCAAGCTTGTTGAGTATCTCGATGCGTGGCTAGAAAGGGCTGGTGCTTGAGAACTTCAGCAGCAAGAAACCGGTCTTGCCAAGGCAACCAGGGCGGGCTTCGTGCATTCTTCACTTGCTTAGATCCTTCTTCCACTTCTTCTCCGGATCCGTCTTCTCCAGATTCTAGGGAAGCTACAATTGATTGTTCGGGAGATGCGCTACATGACATTACTGCAGATGGTGTATCTTTGGGGAGAGATCCGTTCTCACAGTCCCAGGATGGAGATTTTTGAGGCCTATCATGGCTTTGATTATTTGCTTGACTTCGTGTGGTAGGCATAACGCAGAAATAGTTGTGGTTGTGGTTTGATGGGATGAAGATGTTGGTTGACACGGGCTGTCACATCCTGTGACGATGACCAGCCATGGCGCAGCCACAGGTGGAGCCACGGCGTGCTAAACGAAATTGCGCCACACCGTGGCTCTGTGGTTACTGCTAAACCTGTCTATTATAAAAGTCTGTGAGGTGCCAATAAATATATTTTAATCTGATACATTGATATTATAATGTAATATTGACATTATCTCCCTGCTGAAGGTCAGGATCATCGTCTACGATGGATGGCTTCTATGGGAAAATAGGCGCCATGGTCAGGTTTCCTGATGCGGTGGTGATTATACCCAGAGTCGAACGTACCCACTAGTGCTTGCTGCTCCGTCCTATAGCGAATCTATCTTCAAGATCCGGTATATCCATCGTGGCATAGAAAGCAGCTTCGAACGTTGAGATAGGAAACAATTGGGATCCGGAGTCTACTGTAGCTGAATGGGAATCGATCAATATCACGACAAACTGCGTAAGGACAAGGATACGTACATCCAGAATAAGGACGACAGCCATCGTCGAAGATGAGGAATATGGCGCACTATATGGCGGGCAACAATGGGTGGTATATAAGACATGACTTCGATGGTGATCTGCAAAGTCAAACTCCATTAGAGCATCGTCCGAATCGACCTGCACTCTTCTCACGTCAGATCCTATCAACGCCGTTGCAGTGCGGTTGTACACTATGGAATCGCTTCATCCTCTTTGGCGAATCCCATATATGTCGAACGACAGGTGGACTAAGATTCCATTCACCAGAATTGCTCCCCTCTACGGTTGTGGTTTCGGCTTAATTAACAACAGTGGTAACAACTACAAGCAAGTTCCGACAAAGGTAAGGGATGTATTCAAGGAAGATATCGTGAAGGAAACGAATATGATTTTGCGATATTGAAGCCGAGAAGATGCGTTGAGAGCGGTGTGCACATGGCGATTGCCAACCTATAACGGCAACTGGTTAGCTTGTAACGATAAGAGAAATTCAAGGAGAACGTACGTACAGTAAGAGTATGGTTGCTCGGATCCTTCGTAATGATAGTTAGAAGAAAGTTCATCAGAATGAGTGTGTCCTCTTCTTCTGCGATTCATATCGGGCGAGACCCCAACTTCCATTGCCGATAAGACCCATTGCAGGTTATGTACACAACAATGGGTGGTATAAAAGGTCTGACTTCAATGGCGGGCTGCCAGATGTAATTCCAACAGAACAGAACCTGTCCGAGCTGACTGCGCCTTCCTCAAATTAGACCCTATCAACGCCGCTGCCGTCTCGTTATCCGTTATGGAACGGTTTCGTCTTTCCTGACGGATCCTATACACATCCAAAGACAGAATGACGAGGGTTTGAATTCACCAGGATACTCATCTACAGTCTTCAGTTCGGTGACGGTGTACAGACAGAAGTATGCTCTCGTCATCAAGACTTATGTGATGTCTTGCTAGCCAATGAAGGAGTTGGTTAAAAACTCATCTCACATTCCTTTATTCCTTTCCCTCCTTTTGCTTCCTCATATGATCCCTTTCCACTTCTTTCCCACCTCCGGGCTGCACTTATGACTCAGTTAGGTATCAATGAGCATATTCACACTTGCTAATTGGTCCTCACTTTCTTAAAGCATTTTATGTTGAGCAGAGTCCTTTTCATTCTTTCCTGTTGTAAGATCAGTAGGTGGCAGCAGCGATGACAACACACTGGAAGTAAAGAAAATCAATGGAATGCATAGGGATTAATTTCATAATAAAATGAACATGTTATGTCCTGTCGCAAAAATCCAAAATGCCTGATCGTGCCTACTGACCTGATCAGGACCCCATCAGGACATGGTCAGGACATGGTCAGGACCTGGTCAGGACCTGGTCAGGACCTGGTCAGGACCTGGTCAGAGCTTGGTCAGAGCTTGGTCAGGGCTTGGTCAGGGCTTGGTCAGGGCTTGGTCAGAGCTTGGTCAGAGCTTGGTCAGAGCTTGGTGGGAGCTTGGTCAGAGCATGGTCAGGTATGGTCAGACCTTCAATAATTTTAGTATATAATAATACCTCAGTACAGGATCAAACGGAAGCTGGCTGGATAATATGTACTGTCATTAGGACCTCGAACAATTAGATTATAAAAATAAATTTTGATGCAATTTGGAGGACAGGAGAGACTACTACTACCTACCAGCTCTCATTTGCATGGTTTGAGGAGCTAATTGAGGTAAAAGGGGAAAAAAATATTCCGGGCCTCAAAAATATGATAAAAACATCGCCAAATTACCCTATAGTTAGCATGTATCTAATAGAGAAAGGACTGATGTATATGGACTATTATCCGTGCCCTTCCTGATTACTGCTCGGAGGAAGGAGCAGCTGAACACATTTCATATTCTGCCCTACTTGGCAACATGGTGAACAAGTTTCTACTACAAATCATAATTTTATATCAAACAAACATAGAATGGCTGCTAAATGGAATAAAAGTGAATTATTGTGATATTTTTAACACTCCCTTCAAAGAATGCAGTAATTAAGCTGGAGTTCCCCCTCCAGAGATTGATTGCATCCTCAGAGGCAGGAGAGATCTCTGGGAGATTCTCCCTGCAGTTTCAGCATAGGTGAATTCTGGGAGATAATCAGCTTTCTCCAATATTGGCAAACTGATCATCCCTTGTGATTCACCTGTGTTGAAAGTGCAGGGATGATCTCCCAGAGATTCCCCCCATCTCTGAGGATGTAATCAACCTCTGGGAGGAAACTCTGGCTTAGTTATTGCATTTTTTGTAGGGAGTGTTAAAAATATCACAAAATTGTTTTCATTCCATTTTGATAGACCTTCTATATTCTTTTGATGTTAGATTATGATTTGTAGCAGGAACTCAACTGCCATGTTGCCACCTAAGTTGCATCAGGAAACTTGACCATGGTGCATATTTTTCCATAGCAGCCATCCATTGTAGATGATGATCCCAACCTTCAGCAGGGAGATAATGTCAATATTACATTATAATATCAATGTATTGGATGAAAGTATATTTATTGGAGCCTCACATATTTTCATAAAAGGAAGGAATGCTTGTGTCAGGGTAAACTCTGATCTGGTAACTTGTAGAATGTTATGGAACCTTATGGAACCTTATAGAAGGTGGTGGAAACTTCTAGAAACTCATGGAAACCCATAGAAACCCATGGAAGGTTATGGAATATCATAGAAGGCTATAGAAGCCTGTGGAAGATTCTAGAAGTATTCTATATTTAGATTATCTTTGTAGTATATAAGGACCTGTAGTTAGTAGTTAGTCCCCAGTCTTGGAATCAACAAGGTTTCTGGGCATTCCTCTTTTAGTCACTCCTGACAGCTTGAACAAGGTATCTGAAGGTAGTATTATGGAAGGTACCATAGCTGCCAACAAAGTATGGGAGCTAGCAGTTCTATAGTTGCTATAATAGCAATTATAGCACTTACCAACTTTACTGATGTGAAGCCTGAAATGTATTAGGCTGCTCTATCCTCTGAGCAGTAATCAGAAAGGGTATAGACAATGATAAATATTCTATTTTATTTTCTGTATTAACTTATATATATACTATCTATAGGTTAATTTTTTGGCATTTTCACCATATTTTTAAGACCCAGAATATATATCTCTATCGCCTTTTCTTCAAGTGGCTCCCTGGACCATTCAAATGAGAGCTAACAGGTGATAATGGCCTCTCCTCTCCTCCAAATTTTGAGAAGTCTAATATTTTGAAGTCTTAATTACAGTGCAGGGGATCCAGCTAGTGAGTTCTGAGCAGGCAAGGTTATATTTAACTTGTATCTACTTAGTCTCCAAAGTAGTGATAGGGGTGGTGCACTCTGAACATCTCCTATCTAAATTTTTAATCATAAAACAGGATATATATGTAAAAAATAGCAAGTAGCAATCTTTCAAAGCCTTCCTGAGCAAACAAATGAAATATTTTCCTCTCTGAGCTAATCTGATACAATGCAATAAATTCAGAAGTGCTTTATCAGACTCAGATCAGAGCATGAGTAGTTCTGCACCAGTTCTGACCAAGCTGGGTCGAGTTACATAGATTAACCATATATGTTTTCATAAAAAATCGAATTATTTAACCTTTACATAATATGTTTTCTGCAATACAAACTTCAGCATGCATAATCCCAGGTTAAATAAATGAATATATATATATACTATGTCTTTCTACCTAACATAAACATCTCAATATTCGTGGTAATTATTGGAAAAAATAGTTTCTGAAGGAAGCAAGAAGGTTACAATTATTTGCCGACTTATGTCCTATGTCGTCTAATACCACTCGAGAATAAGGTGTTATAAGCACCTGTAGCCTAATGGTTATAGCTTGACTCTTTTGGTGCTCAGAGGCAAACAGGTCATGGGTTCAATTCCCGCTGCTGCTCATTATCAAAATAAGGTAAGTAAGTTTCCTGACTCTTAATCAAAATATATCTAATAATCCACTTGAATAGAAAATTAAAATGAATACAACTCCTGCTTTCACTTAGAACTTACAATAAGTGAGTACTTCTAATAAGAAATACCAAATACCCAATGATATTTGAAGTGTATATACAACTCAGTAGTAAGTAAATAAATATGAATGGGAGGAAAAAGAAAATAATTTTTTTGAAATTTTGAACCTATACCCTGATCACTCAGACTGAGCCTGACCAAGCTTGACTAAGCCTGACCAGCTTGACCGATCTGATCAGTCTGATCAAGTTGGCCCGATCTGACGGCCTGATACTGCCTGATCATGCCAGGTCGGGCATTTTGGATTTTTGCGACACCATCTGTGAGATTTTCTGTGAACACCTGTATTCCATAGCATATGTCTTTCTTTATTACACCAACAGGAATCAGTATTCACTTACTAGAACAGAAGTTTTCATCAAAAAAAAAAAAAAACGCGCAGGAATAGCTACAAAAGAGACACCCTCTTCTACACTTGAAACCGATATCTCAAACTTCTCAATTCTCTCTGAACAAGTGTATCAGTCAGCCTGAAACCCTTTCACAAGCATAAAGGATCATCCCTCGACTTTAAAATAAACCGACCCCCCTCGAGACATTAGTGATTTTCTGAAGGCTTCGACTTGGGGAGGCAGCAATGAACCCCAGCATCGCCTCCTGACAGCTGTGCACAGTGCTAGAATACATCCAACTGGCACATTGAGAGGTGAGGGTAAACCCTGTGATTGCTGATAGAATTTGTGTCTTTGTACTATATCCCCGGATTTTGCTTGATTTTAGCCCCATTCATTATGCTGCCAAATGGAGAGTACATCAAGCTCAGAGGTTTTTTACTATTGTGCGCTCGGGGCTCGAGATACGAAGTACAGGACGATGTGATCTACCACAGTGCGAAGTATAATGGAAGTATAATGGGACATAGTAGTAATGTACCATGTTATAAACGACTAATATATACAACGTAGAGCTGGTTCCGATCTTCTTTCACCTATTCTTTAAGTGGTGGAATGGTTGGATGGGGGCTTAGGGACCAGATGCCCCACGAGCTGACTTGACTTGGAAGCGAACGTGTTGACCACACTCGACATCATACCTTGTCTGCTGTCCGTGACTGTAGCACTCCATAGGTGACCGTAGCTTAGTCATAGTGTGTATGTACGGCCCCCGGCGTTGCTTATTTAGGGACCTAGTCCGGCAAATACTGTGACCACCACCAGCCGGTTATTGCTATTAGATTACCTGCTGTACATCATGTGTATTCAAATGCTATTAAGTGTATCTATTGTAAGGGCAACCCTCGAAGCTGAGCGGACGTCACGCAAGGCTAGCAGAGGGGAAATCCAAAGATATATAAGTAAACGAAATATATACACACAAGGGAATCTCACCTAGCAGAGGGGAAATCCAAAGAGAAAGACTTGGATTGCCTCTGCCAGAGTGAGCCCACTATATACCGTCCGGAGCGCAAACCCCGAAAGGAAAATGAACAATGATCTGATGAACTCAGAAACAATAAAGAAAGGGGAACGAACCAATGAGAAGGAAAAACAAAGGGAGCGGAAGCGAACGGAGAAACAATGGAACGATCCCCCAAGCCGATCGGCGCTAAACAACCCATCACTCATGCGCTATGACTATATGCGCATATACCCTC